TTTGCAATTCATGCACGAGGGCGTCCAGATCCCTCTGCATCTCAGAGCTCTACAATCTCTCACCATTTAGAAAACATGCTTCATTTTTTATTCTTTCTGTTAAAATGGACAATTTCAAAATTTTCCACATTATACTCCATTTGCTACATCTTTATCCACTCACTTAACCTGGCAATATCTTTTTGTAACCTCCTTGTACCCTCTCCTTACTGTTAGCTAAACAAAGTTTCTTTCATCAATGCTAATAATGTTAACCCTACACTGTGAGTTTTTAATTTCTGCAATAACCTTTGATGTGCCACCTTATCAAATGCCTTCTGGGAATTTAAGCATAGTACATCCACTGGTTCCCCTTTATCAATGGCACATGTTGTCTCCTCAAAGAACTCCAAAGGACTGATCAAAAGTGATTTCCTTTCAGAAAGCCATGTTGACCCTGCCTAATTAACTTGAACTTATCCAAGTGCCCTAATATAACTTGTTTAATAACAGCTTCTAACATCTTGTCTATGACGAATGTTAAGCTAATTGGCAAGTAGATTCCTGCTTTCTATTCCCCTTCCTTTTTGAATGAAGAGTTTGCTTTTACATGTTATATGAGTTTAGCCATTAACATTTGAAGAGAAAGGAACCAGTTTCCTTCTGACAAAAATCCTTTATATCTCTCATCTACTTGTTCATCTTATCTGCATTTTTAGCAGTATTTATATTTCAGCATATAGTTGTCACTAAAGCTACAACTTGATCTGTGGCATTATCCTTCTGAGCTCCTTTATCAAACTCACTATAAGTGCCATTGATGCCACTAAGTTCCATGGGCTTCCCACACAACTTCCAGCATTCTGAATAAAGGTGTCCCAATTTATTATGAAAGGAACACTTAGGTCAATGATTTTCACTTTCATCCTCAGCAACATTTTTTTCTGGTTTGAGGAAGAATTCCCAGCGCCTGTCCCTTCTTTACTTTTGCTACTTGCCTTCCTTTCACTCTCCCATGTTTTTGGGTCTGTGGAGTGATACCACAAACACCCAATATTTCTCCTTTTATAATTTGATATACAGCGTGGTTATTGTAAGGGAGTCTGCAGACCATTCTCACTAGCTTTTTCCCCTGTTATTTCTTATTTCCATCTAAATTTATGCTACATCCTGATCTCCTGAACCAAAGAGATCTCTAATTATTGCACAGATGCTATCCTTGATTAACAGTGCTACCCCTCCACTTTTACCTAGCTTCCTGTTCTTGATTGTCATATACCCCTCAATGTTCAGGACTTAATCCTTGACATCCTGCAGTCAGGTCTCCATAATGGCTATTAGATTGCATCTATTTATTCCGATGTCCGCTATCAAGTTGTTTAATTTGTTATTAATACTACATGCATTCAAATACAGAGCCTTCAGTTTTGTTGTTTTGTTATCTTTGTAAAATCTAGTCCTGATTGTTATTATATTCCTCAGTTTATTCCTCGTGTCCTCCTGCTATTCTCTGACCCATATTTCCCATATTACTACTTCCCACTCTTACTGCATCTCTACCCTTTTTTTTATGACATCTTGCCACATTTGCTCCCTTAGACCCACTTTTCAGTTGAAGGCAACAAGTAATGGAGGAGATAGCGGTGGGAGAGGAGAAGGGGTGCCGGGAAAGAGGAAGAGAGTCTGAGGGATAGAAAGGGGGCAGTGAGAGTGAAAGAATGGGAGATGGGAGAGGAAGGGTGAGAGAGAGGATAGAATGGGAGGAAAGGAGAGGATTAAGGGTGTGAAGGAGAGGGACAGAGTGGGAGAGTGGGATGGTACAGGAGAGGGAGGGGTTGAGTACTTGGGACAGAGGGAGAAGATAGTATGTGAAGAAGAGTCACAGAGTCATAGACTGTGGAAACAGAACTTTCGGTCTAACTCATCTGCCCCGACCAGACATCCCAATCTGACCTAGAACCATTTTGAACATAGAACAAAAGAACGCAGGAATGGGCCCTTCGGCCCACGATGATGTGCTGAACATGACACCAAATTAAACTAATCCCTTCTGCCTGCCCTTGAGAAAACACAGGAACGGGCCCTTTGGCCCATGATGTTGTGCCAAATGTGATACCAAATTAAACTAATCCCTTCTGCCTGCCTATATCCCTCCAATCCTTGCACATTCATGTGCTTATTTAGAAGTCCCTTAAACGCCCCTATCATATATGCCTCGATCACTACCCGTGGCAGCGCATTCCAGACTCCTACCACTTTCTGTGTAAAAAACGTGCCCCTCACGTCTCCTTTGGACTTTCCCTCTCTCATCTTGCATGCATTCTGGTAAACCTCTTCTGCACCTTCTCCAAAACCTCCACATTCTTCTTGTAACGTGGAGACCAGAATTGAACATAATACTCTAAATGTGGCCTGGCCAAAATCTTATAAAGCTGCAACATGACATCCTGACTCTTGCACCCACTTCCCCTACCAATAAAGGCAAGCATGCCATACGCCTTCCCTACCACTCTACTTGTGTGGCCACTTTCAGGGAGCAATGGACTTGAACCCCAAGATCCCTCTGTACATCAATGCTGTTAAGGGTCCTGCCATTAACTGTATACTTTTCCTTAACATTTGATCTCCCAAAGTGCAGCACCTCACACTTACGTGGATTAAATTCCTATTTGCCATTTCTCCACCCATATCTGCGACTGATCCATATCCCACCAAATCCTTTCATAACCTTCCACACTATCTACAACTCCACTGATCTTTGTATCTTCTGCAAACTTACTAACCCACCCATCTACATTTTCATCCAAGTCATTTATATATATCATGAACAGCAGAGGTCACAGTACGGATCTCTGCGGAACACCAGTAATCACGGACCTCCAGCCTGAAAACACTCTTGCACCACTACCATTTGCCAGCATTTAAACCCTTCTAAAACCTTCCTATTGCTGAGCTTTTCCAGCAACTTTGGTTTTGTTCCTGATTTATAACATCCACAGTTCTTTTGGTTTTTCCATTCATCAGTCTAATAGCGGCAGGGAAGAAGCTGTTCTTGAACTTGTTCGTGCGTGTGTTCAAGTTTCTGTATCTTCTGCCTGACAATGTTGTACGAGAGCATTACCTGGGTGGGATGGATCTTTGATGATGTTGGCAGCTTTTACGTGACAATGAGGGTATAAATGGAGTTCATGGATGAAGTTGGATTCCGTGGTGGTCTGGGCTGTGCACACAACCTTTTGTATTTTCTTATGGTCCTGGGCAGAGCAGTTGCCATACCAAGCCGTTATGTACCGGATAGTACGCTTTCTATGGTGCATCTGTAAAAGTTGGTGAGCGTCGTTATGGACATGTCAAATTTCCTGAGCCACCTGCGGAAGAGGCAGTGTTGTTGTTCTTAACCGTTGCATCTACATGGGAAGTCCAGGACAGGTTGTCGGTTATCGTCACTCCCTTGAACTTGACGCTCACAACCTCCATTCCATTGATGTAAATGGGGGTGTGTTCTCTTCCTTTCTTTCTGAAGTCAATAATCAGTTCTTTGATTTTGTCGACATTGGGAGAGAGGTTGTAATCATTGCACCACATCACAAAGCCCTCTATCTCCTTTCTTTATTTGTTGTTTGATATCTGTCCTACCATGGCAGTGTCATCAGCAAATTTGTAGATGATGTTCATTCGGAATTTGGCTACATGTTTATGGGTGTACAGTAGGGGGCTGACAACACATCCTTGTGGAACTTCAGTGTTGAGTGTAATTGTGGAGGAGGTGCAGTTGCCTATTATCTTCACTGATTGTGGTCTATGGGACAGGAAGCTGAGGATCCAGTTGCAGAGGGCATGGCGAGACCTAGGTCTCAAAGTTTTTAAATCAGTCTGGAGGGGATAATAGTGTTGAAGACAGAGCTATAGTCAATGAGCAGGAGTCTGACATAGGTGTCCTTGTGTTCAGATGTTCCAGGGATGAGTGCAAGGCTAGGGAAATGGCATCTGCTGTGGACCTGTTATGTCAGTAGGCAAATTGCAGGGGATCAAGGCAGGCTGGGAGACTAGAGTTGATGTGGGCCACAACCAGCCTCTTGAAGCAGTTCATGATTACGGAAGTCAGAGCCATTGGGTGGTAGTCATTAAGGCACGTTGCACATGCTTCCTTAGGACTGGGATGATGTCTATTCATTCTCCCATGCTGATTGTTATCCATTCCTTTGTCTGTTCAACTGTTCTTCTCTCTCTTTGGGAGTTATCTCCACCTACCATTCACTCCTTACACCCTCCTCTCCACCCCATCTTCTGCACAAAACCAACTTTTTCCTAGCCACCATCAGTTCTGAGGAAGAGTCACTGGACCTGAAACATTAGCTCTGATTTCTCTCCACTGATGCTGCCAGACTTGCGGAGCTTTTCCAGCAATTTCTGTTTTTGTTCCTAATTTATTAATTAAAATTTGCTCCCAGCCATTAGAAGTGAAATAAAATTTGAAATTTAGCTCCTTAATGCAAAAGGGTGGAATAAGCCAGCTCTTCAGTATAGATCAAGGAGATGCAAAATGCCAAACAGAGATGTAACTACTATTGGTAAGAGGGTGAAAATAAAGTCAACAGGATTCAACACTAGTTATCATTTTAAAGGATCATAGAACTTAAAGTAACATTTGACAAATGGCATACAAATCCAAGATTTAATATATCACATTAATTATATTGACTAACTTCTTATAGCCATGGCTCCTATGCCTTCGATTTTCTCTCTGCATCCATTTTAGAACTGGCAGGAATATTTCTCATGCAAATCTCTTGATGGTTAAGTATACAGCAAAAAATAATAAAACACATATTCGCAAACTCTTAGTTTGATAATTTATTTATATTTGTACCTATTTTTGGATCAGCGTCTTGATGCAGCTTGATTGTGGACTTTTCCAGGCCAGGCATTGACAAGGTGCAACATATTATCATCTTTGATAGTTGAACAATGGATTATTTTAAATTGAACTAAACAAATAGTATTTTTTAGTATCTATTTACCTTAAGTTTGCTTCCATCCAGCTGCAGCAACTGTTCTCCATCAATGCCTTTGGCAGTAAATTGTGGAATATATTGTTCCATGTTCAGTCCCATAAGCCAATGAGAAACCTGATGGGTGCTCCAATCCAAAAGAGCATGAGTCTTCCATTGATTGTGTTTTGGTGATTGTCCTTCATCGAGGATCTTTGAGAAAGTAACAAAAGAGAAAGTCACAATAATGATTATGATATCACCTGTTTGTTTATTAAATAGTTAAACTGTAATTTACTAGCAGAAATTGAGATATTACAACTTATTTACATTTCTATTATTTCTCAGACAATGTTCTCACCTGGAACCTTCATGTCACTTACTGAAGCAGGCTACAGAATGTCTCCATTTCACTGTTACTAGAGTGTATTTCTCTTTTTAAGTCATTATGCACCCTTAACAAGCTTCAGGGTTTAACATATGCCGAATATAAATTCACTCATCTGAACTAGGAGAAAAAAATCATAGTGATGTCACACAGGAAAGCAGTGAGCTGATTGGCTGGTAAGGGAACTGCCTTTAGGAGCTCACCCTAAATAGCAGTTATTTAAAAACTGTAGAATTATTTCAGGAAAAAGTTAGCTCATAAGACTAAGGAAATTTAAATCATGCAGATGAGAGTGGCTGAATGGAATGGGTTATCTATCACATGGGGAGTTCATGGATCCTTCTGCTGCAGAAGTACTCCCAACTGCACAAATCTGAGCTCTGGGTTTTCGAGCTACAGCAGCAGCTGGAGACACTGTGGCACAATGTGACGCTCAGACTTTCATACATAGCAGGTTTAGAGAGGTGGTCACACACCAGCTGGAGGGACTGGAGGAAAGCAAGGAATTAGTGTAAACCAGGCAGTCAAAGAGGAGCAGGCAGGTACTGTAGGAGTCCCGAGGTTCAATTCAAAAATCCATTTTTCGTTTTGGAAGCTGACGAGGGCACTGATATCTTCATTGGCATGCAGTGACAGCTAAGCTTCTGGCACTAAAAGCAGCCTGACTCTACAGGAGGGGAGAAAGAAGTGACCATAGACATGACTCTATGATGGCATGTTGCCTTCCTGGTGCCTGGGTCAGGCATGTCACTGACTGGCTACAGGGCATCCTGAAGGAGGAGCGTGATACAAGTGAGGTTGAGGTACACATTGGTACATCAATGATATAGGTAGAATGAGGGATGAGGTTTTGCATCATGGGTTCAGGGAGCTAGGCTGTAGATTAAGAAGCAGAACCTCAAAGATTATAATCTTAGGATTACTCCCTGTACCAGGTGTTAGCAAGTAAAGAAATAGGTGGTTACAATACATGAATGCATTGCTTAAGAGTAGGTGCAGGAGAGAGATTTTAGATTCTGGGATCACTGGGACTATTTCTGGCGAAGGTGGGACATCTACAAGTGGAACAGTCTGTACCTGAACCAGATTGGGAATGACATCCTTGAAGGAGGGTTTGCTAATGCTCTGGGGGGAATTTAAATTAGTTCAGCGGGGGCAGGGGACACAGTATGTTAATTAAATGGTGACACAGCATAACTCAGAAAAGAATACAAGGCAGAGGGAGTTCAGCCACGCAAAGTTTCCAGGGAGTAAAGCAAGGCTGGATGGCCTATATATCAATGCCATGAGTATTATAGGGAAGATAGATGAGTTAATGAGATGGATTGGCATGTGGAGTTGCAATGTTGTTGCTATCACAGAAACATAGTTCAGGGAAGGACAAGACTGGATAAGGTTGTAACCTCACAGTTACGTCCAGTGCTACGTAGTACTTAATGTAGAATTACGAAGATAGGTCAGCTGAATACATAGCTAAAGGCATGATATATGAGGGAGGGCCGTAGATTTTTGGAACATTGGGTCAACATTTGAAGTAGATGGGACCTGTACAAGCTGTCAAGTTTGCACCTGAACGGCAATGGGTCCAAAACCCTTGCCAGGAGATTTGCTTGTGCTGTTGGGGAGGCTTTAATTTGGCAGAGATAGTGGGCATAGAATAGATGTAAAGTCAGGAGCAAGGTTCAATCAAATGTAGAAGGAATGCTAAGTCAGTTCAGTGGGCAGAGAAGACATGGACAGGATAAGGTGTATGGGATGTCCAGAAAGCTAAACTGTATCTATTTTAATGCAAAGAGCTTGATTGGTAAAGTGGATGACCTTAGAGCTTTGATCAGCCTGTGGGTATATGATATTGTTACATTCATTGAGACATAGTTGCAGGAAGAACAGGACTGGCTGCTCAACATTCCAGGGAAGTTTCAGGCATGATGTCGGGGGCATTCCATTATTGATAAAGTAAACCATCAATGCAGTGAAAAGAGTGGATGACCTAGAAGGTCTTCAAATGAGGCCATGTGGATAGAGCTTAGAAATAAAAAAGTGAGGGGTGATTACTTTTCTGGAATTATAATACAGGCCTTCCAACAGTAAGAAGGAGCTAGAGGAGCAGACATAGGCAAATCATAGAAAGTTGAGAGAGAAACAGGGTCACAGTTGTTGGGGATTTCATCTCTGCTAACATTATCTGGGATTTGTGCAAAAAGACTGACAAGGTGGAATTTTTAAAGTACATATCAGAGAGCTCTTCTGTGTCCGCATCTAGGTAGTTGTACTAGAGATGGGGCAGTGTTTCACCTAATCCTAGGGAATGAAGTTAGTCAAATGGTTCAAGTTTCAGTGGGCAAGTATTTTGAGGATAGTGACCAAGTTTAAAAGTCATTATATTAAAGGGATATGGATAATGCAGAACTTAAGTGTCTCATTTGGCGGTAGGTAAATTTCAATGTCATTAGACAGGATCTGACAAACATACTGGGAGCAGCTATTTGTAAGTAATTCTACATTTGGAAAGTGGGAACTTTTAAAAGTAGCATAAAGAGAATTCAGGGCCAACGTGTTTCCTTAAAGGGGAAGGGGAAGGGCAGAAAGTCCAGGGAACTCTAGATATCAAGGGTTATCCTGAGTGTGATAAAGAAAAAGAAGGAAACATGTGTCAATTATAGCACATCAAAAACAGGGGAGGCCCTTCAAAAGTATACAGAATGTACAGGTTTGCTTTAAAAAGAAATTAGGAAGGCAAAGAGGGGCCACGAAATATCTTTAGCAGAAGGGATCAAGTGCAATAAAAGGACTAGCAGGGAAAGAGTGGACCTATTAGGGGCCAAAGGGGCAATCTGTGCGTGGCACTTGTGAATATGAGTGAGGTCTTAAATTATAGTCACGAGGAGAAAGCCATTGGAGCTGGGGAGTTTAGTTGGGACAGTGAGGTTTTAGAACATGTTAAGATTAACATGGAGAAGGTATTAGGTGTTTTAACGGGCATAAAGATGCGTAAATCCCTAGGGCCTGTTGAGATGTATCCTAGGCTGCTATGGATACTTCTCCATGTTAATTTTAACATGTTCTAGAACCTCACCATCGCAACTGAAATCCCCAGATCCAATGTCTTTCTCCTCTGTGAATACAGTTGAGAAGTATTCATTTAAGACCTCACCCATGTCCTCAAAAAGGCAAGGGAGGAGATTTCTGGGGCCCTGGTGGAGATATTTAATACTTTGCTGGCCAGAGATTAAGTGCGAGTTGACTGGAAGATAGCTTTTTTTTATTCATTAACGGGATGAGGACGTCGCTGGCTAGGCAGCATTTATTATCCAACCCTCATTGCCCAAAGGGCAGTTAAGGGTCAACCACATTGCTGAGGGTCTGGAGTCACATGTAGGGCAGACCAGGTAAGGATAGCAGTTCCCTTCCCTAAAGGACATCAGTGAACCAGGTGAGTTTTTCCCGACAATTGGCAATGGATTCATGGTCATCATTAGATTCTTAATTCCAGATATTTTATTGAATTCAAATTCCACCATCTGCCATGGCGGGATTTGAACCTGGGTCTCCAGAATATCTGGGTCTCTGAATTAACAGTCCAGCAATAATACCACTAGGCCATTGCCTCCCCCAAAGGAGCCAATGTGGCTCCTTTGTTGAAGAAGGGCAGCAGGGATTGGCCAGGTAATTACAGACCTGTTAGTCTGACGTCAGTGGTAGGGAAATTATTGGAAAAGTCCTGAGCAACAGGATCAATTAACACTTAGAAAGTGACGGATTGATCAGGGATTGTTAGTATGAATTTGTTACAGCGATAAAAGATGACTAAATATGCTGATGAGACTAGTGCAGTTGATGTGGTTTACATGGACTTCAGAAAGGCCTTTGGCTAGGTCCCACGTGGCTGGTCCAAAAGGTAAGAGTCCATGGGATCCACCGCAAGTAAGCAAACTGGATTCAAAACTGGCTTGGAAACAGTGGGTAAAGTTGGGGGATGTTTTTGTAATTGGAAGCCTGTGACCAGCACTGTACCACAGGGATCAATGCTAGAATCCTTGCTCCTTCTTATGTACATTAACAACTTGGATGTGGATGTAGACGGTATAATTAGTAAGTTTGCAGATGTCACAAAAATTGGTGGTGTTGCTGATCCTGAGGACAGTGGCCTCAGGCTGCAGTCTGATATTGATCGGCTAGTAAATTGGGCAGGGCAATGGCAGATGGAATTTAGTTCTGATAAGTGTGAGGTGATGCATTTTGGGAGGTCTAATAAGGGAAGGACACACACAATGAATTGTAGGTCCCTAGGGGGTACTGAGGGACAAAAGTACCTTGGTGTACAAGTCCTGAAAGTGTCAGCACAGTTAGATAGAGAGGTGAAGAAGGCATACCGGCCTTCATTAGCCAGTGCATAGAATACAGCAGCAACTCACGAGGTTCTCACAACTCTATAAAACATTGATTAGGCAACAAACGGAACACTGTGTGCAATTTTTGTTGCCACACTATCAGAAGGACCTGATTGCACTGGAGAGGGTGCAGAAGAGATTCACCAGTATGTTGCCAGAAATGAAAGATCTCAGTTATGAGAAGAAATAGGTATAGGCTGGGTTTGTTTTCCTTGGAGCAGATGAAGCTGAGGGGTGATCTGATTAAGGGATACCAAATTATGAGAGGTATAGACAGAGTAGAGTATGAGAATTTTTTCCCTTTGGCAGACATGCATAAGATCAGGGGATGTAAGTTTAAAGTGAGGAGTAAGTGGTTTAGAGGAGACCTGAGAAAAAACTTTTTCACCCAGAGGATGGTAGAAATATTGAACGTGCTGCCTGAGACGGTGGTG